GCCATATTTGAGAGCTGGATAGAGAAGTTATGGACATTTTTGGAAACTGAAAGAAACAGAGTGAGCATCAGGGCAGAAACTCTGGTGAGGCAGGAAAACTGGTGTGTTGGGTACATCTTGGACAGTGTGGTAGGCTTAGAAACTGGAAAGGCGAGTAGGTGTGAACACTGAGGAGTGCCTGAGAGTCAGAGTCAATGGTGGGGCAGTGATGGGGAAAGACAAAGGCCAGGGCTAACCGAAGGGGTGGAAGTAGAGGTCACTGGAGTTGAGGGTACCAAAGAGCCCCAGGTGGAGTGGAGTCATGGTGTTCTCAAGGGTTGTCCTTGCTATACACAACACAGGCAGAGCCTGATGTAGAAAGGAGGACCAAACCAGGTGTGAGAGACCTTATAGAAGAAGTCACCTGGCCCGTCCCTGTTTTCCACTCTGACTCTTTAAAAAAAATTGATACATAATCATTGTTTATATTATGTGACCCAGAGTGATATTTCAATACATGTATGCAATGTGTAATGATCATCTCAGGGTAATTACCACATCTGTCACCTCAAACATGTATTATTTCTTTTCTTGAGAACTTCAACATCTTCTCTTTTAGCTATTTGAAAACATACAATGAATTATTGTTAACTATAGTCACCCTACAATGTTGTAAAACAATGGAACTTATTCCTCCTATCTAGCTGTAATTTTGCATCCATTAACCAACCTCTCCTTGTGTTCCCCACCCCCCAGCCTCTAGTAACTACTGTTCTAATCTCTACTTCTATGAGATCAACTTTTTTAGCTTCCACATGAATGAGAACATGCATATTTGGTTTTCTGTGCCTGGCTTATTTCACTTAACATGGTGTCTTCCAGGTTCATCCATGTTGGTGCGAATGACAGGATTTCATTCTCTATTTTTGGCTGAATTGTATTTCTGTGTGTGTGTGTGTGTGTGTGTGTGTGTGTGTGTGTGTGTGTGTGTGCCTGTGTGTGTATCAGTCTATCACATTTTCTGTATCCATTTGTCTGTTGATGGACACGTGGGTTAATTCTAAATTTTGGCTATTTTGACTAATGCTGCAGTAAACATGGGGTACAGATGTCTCTTGTATACACTGATTTCCTTTTTTTGGGTATATACTCGGTCATGGGATTGCTGGATCATTTGGTAGATCTATTTGTAGTTTTCCAGGCACCCTCATACTGTTTTCCATAATGGCTGTGTCAGTTTACATTCCCACCAACAGTGTATGAGAGTTCCTTTTTCATGGTGGTTTTGATGTGCATTTCCCTGATGATTAGCGATGTTAAGCATTTTTTTCACATGCATATTGACCGTTTATATGTCATCTTTTGATAAATATCTCCTCAGATCAGTTTCCCATTTTGTAACTGGATTATTTGTTGTTTTGCTGTTAAGTTCCTTGTATATCTGGATATTAATCCCTTGTCAGATGAATAGTTTGCAAATATTTTCTCCCATTCTACAGGTTGTCTCTTCCTTATTTCTGGTTAAAAAAATCTCTGAAAAGTTTTCACTTCTACTTAGGACCATTTCTGTTTCCTTGTTACCTAACCCCTGCTTAACACCTTGAGTTTGCAGCTGGACTCATGAATTCCTGTTATAATGATTTCTTCTGCATTCTTGGGGCCTTTTCTTAGTCATCATTCCTTCATTTATTAATATAATAAATATGGAGCACCTGTTATTATCAGGCATGTTTCAAGGTGATAGAGATACTGCATGTTTGACAACTAAATAGTTTGTTGCCCTACCTCCCCCCATCTAAAGCCCTAATTCTCACCTCCCTTTCTATTTCCTATATCCATTTTTTGCTTAACTATTCAAATTCTTGCCCAGTTTAAAGAACTCAGTTATCTATGACTCTGTTATCCCTCACCCTCCACTTCTAATTGGTCATCTTATCAACCTCTTTTTTTTAATCCTCTGTGCTCCAATCTTCTGTACTCAAGCTCTGTCATCGTAAACATACTTAAGAATTCTTTGTCTTTGTGCATACTTATTTCTAGAATTCTCACTGTTTCAGAGCAAGCTTAAATGTTACCTCCTCTATGCAGTGGTTTCTTGACATCTCCAGCCAAGTTGATTTTGTCCTCCATTATGTACATAATTCTAAGCTCCACACAATGATATACTGAGTATCTTGCTAGACTGTAAGCTCCTTGAAGGCTGGAACTAAATTTTATTAATTGGTATACATAATGCTCTCCTGTATTTCACTGTAGTGGACATATAACAAAGTGAGTAGATAGATGAATGCATTTAGACTTTAAAGGTACTGTATTACAACATACTGAACATGAAGGGAAAAAATTAAATATCCCTAAGATATGTATGCTTTCATCAGTAGCATTCATAAGTTATATACAGAATGCTAACACCTTTGAGAGAAATTGGAATGAATATTTTTATTAGTGTTTGCTTGAATCCTGAGTGCTTTCATTGTCCTCACTCCCTGGAACAATGACAGTCAGTGCTGTTGGCAGGCAGACACAGGCCCCACCTCATGAGGGCCTGTGGCAGGCTGAACTTATTGTTGTCTAGGCTGAGGACAGAGAACAGCTACTGTAGATCTAACTTAAATTTTTAATTGTGTATATACATTATTTATTGTAGGTGTTCATTTTGAATAGCAGTGTTCTTGTCTGCGAGTTTTGATTCTAAATTCAGAAACTTTCTTGTTGAAGGTATTTTAATTACTAAAACAATCTTCTGGTAATATTATGAGTAGAAAATTAAGTGACTAAGATACTTAAGAGATCTAAAAAATAAACTCTCTAATAAACTTATAGGGATTCTAGAAGAACAGACAAGCTGGTAGTTGAGGTGAAGGAGAAATGACTGATTTTTTAAAAATTGTGTAGAACTTTAAAAAGGTTAAATGTCAAGACTTTCCATAGTTTTGCAAAAATGTATCTTCCTCATTTGGAAAGTAATCTATTATGCTTTGAAAGGATTGATCAAGTAAAAACAATAATTGACTCAGTGAGATACATATATTTTTGGTTAAAAATATTTGTTTTGCCATTTTTAATGATGTCAAAGCTATAAACTTTTCTATTAATTTTTCTTGTTTTAGACCATTATTCCAATTTTATGAGATTATTTTGTGAATTTCAAAAACATTTTAAGGATATTTATGATATTTTAATGAACAGCTCGTAGATCACTTACTTCAAGTTGCCACGTAGGATGAGCAGCCAATTCAAACTAGTTAGAGAAAAGGATTCATCACTGTTCTTTTCATGTTATAGTGTTAGTTCATTTTGATACAGGCCAGAAGTATTGTAGCTAGAAATTACAATAAGTTAAGTGAAGTAGTTAAAGAACAAAAAATATATTTTTCACATCAGTGATCATTTTCAAAATGTTGACCAGCATGTCTTCTACTGCCACACCGAGAGGCCGTTTATGTTGTGTATTTAAGGATAGGACACAGGTGACTTACGATGCTGCTCTCAGAATGAGCAAAAGGTTGGGTGGATGAGGGGGAGATGAGTGGAATCCAGTTGCAGTTAAAACCTGTGAAAGGTGAGACCTGTAGTGACTCTAAATGTAGAGACGCACAGGTTATATAAGTCCCAACACACAGAAAAAGCCGCGTGCTTGCTAAAAACTGCCCTTTACACCTAAGGTGGGAACAAACTTTAAAATATTGTTTGCTTGCAGTCAGTTTTCTGAATTAATAGGTTCTAAATAAGAAAATTGATTGCTAATTTTTCTCCGTGGTGAGTGAAATGCTCCTTTAAACTGTTTTGAACTTAGATAAAAACATGGAATGAGGTGAACACATTACAGTAAATTATGATGCACTTGCCTTCTTGAAGATCAGCTTCCTAAAAAATTTTGTCACATGAACCTAAAGTGCCCTATGGTGATTTTTGCCTTGGTGTTCTGATCTTTTTCTGACTCACATTTGAGCTTTTCTTTTACAAGGGCTAGTGAGCATAACAGGTGACAGATACTGTAGAACATGCATTCCTTGTAAAGTATGTGAGTGAGCATGCTTGGAAGGCAGGGTGAGTTGGCACACTGGCCCAAAGCTCCTTGGCATCTGGAAAGAGTGTGAGGTGGAATGCCAGCAGGCTCCTTTTACAGCAGCTCCGTTTCCCTCACAGATTGTATGCATGAATGTGAGTTTGCTTTACCGTAACTTAGTTATGAGCAGGTAGAACCCACCTGTGGAAGTGTTTAATGTCTGTAAGAATGGCTGGTGTCATTCATGGTTTGCATTAACATATGTATGAGGACTTCATATTTCAACATGAAGGGTTCACAGTGGGCCATTTCTCTGAATTGAAGCACCATGCTACTGTCTTTCCTCATCTTCTTGAGGAACAGTTTTACATGGTGTGGCAACTTCATGAGTTATGTAATGCTGAAATGATTAGGTCTGCTTAGGTGTTATAATCTAAAATATCCAGTATTGGAAATAATTCCCCACAAGCTCTATCATAATACAGGCTAAATTTACATACACATAAGACTTTTTATGATCTATCTTTTGACTTTTCTCTCCATGCTTATCTCTCACTCTTCTTACTTTTGCATCCTAACCTCCAGTCATATTAAATTTGTTTAGAAGCTGACACCTTGCTAGACACACACACACACACACACACACACACACACACACACACACACACACCCCCCTAAGCGTCACATAGTCACTTTTTCTGTCCCCTTCTTAAGAAGTATCCCCCCAATTACCCCCTCTGCTCTCACCTACACCAAGTCTTGACTTGTTACTCCTGTTCTGGGTTCCATGTATCCTGTTCTCCCTGCAACATTTACTGCATAGCTTTCTCAAGGTCATGCTGACTGTGCTCTCGAGTACATTGTAAACAGCCCAAAGGAACAGAAGCCGTCAGTCTTATTGACAAATGTATACTTGGTGTGTAGCACAGAATTTGTGTTGCAATCGTTTATCAGTCTATCTGTTTTATTTTTCAAGTGATGATCCTTATTATTCTGTGTTTTGTTTTCAAAGACTCTACAAAGTGAAGACAAAAGGAACTATGCTGAGAAACCAATCACTCTTCCAACACAGGAAGATCTGAAAAGGCCAAATGATCTTTCCAGTGCCACTTCAGATGCCAAAATAGGAGAAAATGACAAACAGCCGAAAGAAAGCTTTCTTCAGTTTCTTGGTAATTTATTCAATATCTCAGGAAAATCATCTCTTAGTGAAGCTAAGCAATCTTCTTTCAAAGATGACCATGATAAAACTGATAAAGATTTGCAGCCTCCCAGTCCTCGTCATGAGGAAGGGGTCAGAAGGGAGGAGATTCTCAGTGGCTCCCTGAGAACCCAGGTGCTTCCAACGGAAGATGAGTCCAACTCAACTGAACTCTCAGATACCTTGTCTTTGGATACAACACAAGACAGTGAGCAGGAAACCAGTGACTTGCTAAAGTAAGTTTAAAATGTAGTTGAACCAAAAAAACTGAGCTTTTTGGACCTAGCTTTTGAGCATAAGTTTTCAAACTATTAATTGAGGAGATTGGAAAAAGTATTCTTTAATGTTCCTATTATTAGATATAAAATTGTATGATTATCTGTATCAAACAGGTATTCTAGGGCCTTTTGAGCTATTTTAGGGGGTGATACTAATACCTTTTAGGTGTTAAATTTGCCTTAGTACAAGATTTGTTTCTTTCTTGGATAGAAATGTTTTTTATTGTCTGAATTCTTCCCCTATTAGGATGGGCAGTGTAGTCAATATGTGCATTTGGGGAAACAAATGGTTCAAGGTTTGTATTCTTATTCTATAAATATCTCCCTTTTTCATAGAATTCAATTAAAGCAGTTAAGAAAAGCAATTAAGTTGACTGTGCTCATTAAACTAGCTTTATGAATCTTTTACAGTTCTAAGAAACTAAAATCTTGTTTGAATTTAAGGAACATTTTATTACCCTTTTTTTCTTTCTTTGATTAACAAACAGGCACCAACTTGTTTTCCCTTCTATTCTCGAATAAGCTAGAAGGAATATATTCTACTCAGGAAATATAACAATATTAAGTCTATTAGATATCTTGTATAACAAAGTATTCATCCATTCATAACTAATACAGTTCTATTTTACTGGTTTTAATTTTACCTCTACCTGAGAATTTATTATTTGAGGTCATCAATAATACTGTAGCCAGATATAAATGATAGCTTATGGTTATGTAGTTCTTTATAGTTTCAAGTTATCTTCACTTGCATGTTTATAGTTAATTTCTCATAGCAAGCTTATGAGATAGGCATGCACCTGACTTACAGTTGTGAGAATTGAGTGTGGATTGGAGTGTGTCCATCAAGAGTGATGAGGTAGGGCTAGTTTTGCCAGATGTTAAAATGTATTTAGAAAGCTGTGGCATGTGAAGCAATGTTATACTGATGTAATATTTGCTCGACATTTAAATTGAACAGACCAGGTAGTCTAGAAATAGAACCTGTAAATATAATTGCATGATGTATGTGGGGAGCCCAGAAAAACCTGGAATTTATTTATAAAAAATTGTGTTTTATTCTTATGTGTCCAGAGTTCAGTCACCTTCAAAGTTCCCTCCATTTAATGCAGTATACCTACCGAGATGCTTTTTCCTCTGCTCAGAACAGTTTTTGAACTCAGTTTTGATGCCTTTTAGTGCTCTTGCCATTTTTTGTTCCAAATCTTACACATCCACAGTGGAAAAAATGTTTCCCTCTGAGGACTTTTTTTGTTGGAGGACACAAAAAAAATCACTTGGGGTGAGATTGGGTGAATAGGGAGGGTAGGCCATGGGGGTAAGGCTGTTTTTGGTCAAAAATTGCTGAACACTCAGCACAGTGTGGGCCGATGTGCTTGTAAATCACCCATCTTGAAATGGGGCAAAGGTGCTGAAAGAATCTCCAAAAAAAATTTCACTGAAGCCGGATGCAGGCGCTCACAACATCACTAGCTGATACTCTGATGCCAAAGGATTCCTAGAGCACTTACCTAGCAGGGAAGCCTGTACAACAAGAAACCTGTCTGCCAAAAGATAATTCCATTTTTTTTTTTTATCCCCCCTCATATTCTTGTGGAAATGAGGCTTGTAGGGAACTTGATTGCAATTCGTAGAAAAAAGGGTAGCTATTTATACTAAAATTAATGAAGATAGAGTAGCATGTTAAAAAACATAGAAAATAGAAAGTGGTATATGTGAATTTTTATTTTGGTGAGAAATGACTTTCTAAGCATAATAGGAATGAAAGGTATCAGGAAAGAGATCAGTAGATTATAGATTACTCCCAATTTTCAAGCTCTTTCATGTCAAATAACATAAACAATGATAAATTTAAATGGTAAATGGGAAAATATATGCAAAAGTATGACACAGAATTCTTTAACTGATAAGCAATTTAGACACTCACCAATAGGGAAAAAAGACAAACAATATAAACAAATCATTCAAAAAAAAGAAATACAAACTGCTAATAATTAAGTGAAAGAAAAGCTTGTTTTCCTTAATAATCAAGGAAATACAAACTAAAATTAGATAACTTTTTTATATTAAACTGATAGCAATCATAATAAATGATGACACCCCAAGTGAGTTAGAGTTAATAAGACTGGAAGTCATATACACTGATAGAAGTGGGGGCAGTATGTTTCAGGAAATCAGATGATATTTTATCAAGTTTGCATGTTATTTCTGATGATGAACTAAGATGTTTACTAAAATATTATTTATAGAAATGTCTATATACTTGGAAACAAATGTCAAACAGCAGAAAAGTGGCTAAATTCTGGTAGCACCATAAATTAGGATATTCTGCAGCAGTGCTACTTAAAGTGTGGTCCATGGAGCCACAGCATCACCTGGGGACTCATTAGAGAGGCACAGTGTCTGATTCAGATCCACTGACTCAGAGTTCCTGGGAGTGGGCCTAGCAGTCTTCTAACAGTCTCTCAAGGCAACTTTTTTGTACACTTGCATTTGAGACCCTCATTTTAAAGTAATTTAAAATGATGGGGATTTTGATGTTATTACATGGGAATTGAGTAGAATGGGAAGTTTATGTTTTTTCTCCTTGATTTTTATTAGTTTGGTCAGGTGTTTATTTTATTTTATTTTATTTATTTATTTTTTGGTTAAGGACAGTAAAATATGAGAGGACACTGTGCCTCTTTCTTTCTTTTTTCTTTTCTTTCTTTCTTCCTCTTTTTTTTTTTTTAACTAAAGCTCTCCTTGTTAATGGAGTAATTGCTTAAGGCGTTTATGCAAAGCCACCTCAGCAAAACATGGTGGTTCTTGATTTAGGAGGAAAGGGAAAGACCACCTGGTTCCCAGTTTAACTGAGATACAGCCATCCTCCAGGCCTACTTTATCAGGCTTACAATTATAGTTTTAGTAACACCCTTTGACAGTTGTCAGTTGAAGAACTATAACTTAAAAGTTTGATGTTGTTTAATTAGTGTATCCAGATAATTACTTATGCTTTGGAAATTACAAAGAGATTTCAGTTTCACATATAAAATTTTTAATTTTTTTTATGTAGGGAGGAGTGAATTAACCAAAGGTTTTTCATGGATGAACCTACATTTTTTTAGCAATACATCTTGATAGTCAAGGTGTATTTAAAAAGGGTTGATGACTTAATCTGGACGTTATTAAAATACTGTGTAACATTGTCAGTTACCATGCTATCAAATATATTTTTGTGATTATCATTAATACAGTTTTCAAAATTTAGACAAGTTATTACAAGTTGAATATGCCTTATCCCAAATGCTTGGGATCAGAAGTGTTTTGGATTTGGGGCTTTTGGATTTTGGAATATTTACATATGCTTAACGAGATATGTTGGGGTTGGATCTCAAACCTAAACACAAACCTCAATTGTGTTTCATGTACACTTTATACATTTAGCTTGAAAGTCATTTTTTACAATATATTAAATATTTTTGTGCATGAAACAAAATATGTGTACACTGAACCACTTAATTAAAATAATAAACAGTTTTATCATTGTTGTTATATAAGGCTGACCCTGAAAATTTTATTTTTAACTTCCTTAAGATCATTATGAAAACCTGTTTGATCACATTTTTTTAGATTGTTTTCTAAACATTAACTCATGTTTCTGGTGTAAGTTATATATTTTTATAGGAAACTACTTTATTGTTGGGTTACTTTTCTTAAAAGAGTTCTGTTATAATTCTTATATTTCTCACACCTTCATATCCATTATAATGAAAAGCTCTTTTTATCTTAATTTGCTGGATTTGCAGTTTTTCTTTCCATACAAAAGTTAAAAGCCTCTCCTATTCTGAGACAGTATTCTTAACTTTGTAATTTGAAAGGAAATAAATCTTATTACTGAAATAAGCTTAGTCATATTTTTCCAAAAGTGAATTAGGTACTTTTGCTGTAAATCTAGTTGTGATTCTCAGGCTGTTGTTATAGAATTTTCTTTGAAGAATGACACCTGTCTTTGGTTGACCTTTGTAGTGGCAAGTGTATCAAATATATCCAGAATAGAGTATCGCCGTATGTTGTACCTAGAGGCATAAAACACTTTCACATAATGAGTACTTAAGTCTCGGACTGAAACCCCCAAACAGATTTTTCAGATTTTCAATATGTATGCTTATTTTCTTAAATATTTGAGATTTTTAGATATTTTATGCACTATTGTTTTATGTACCTTTTGTATGGAATAAACTGTAAAGATACCATTTATAATTGTATAATGCATGAAATTAATACTCCTTTTTCTCTGTTCAGTTTATGAAAATACACCTTTTAAATTTCCTATCTTCAGCTTATTTTTAAAGTTTTATGTTCTTTGACATTTCTAATCTCTTTTATTTACTAGGAAAAAATTAAAGAACAGTTTTATATTCTTGATATTATTCAATTATGTTGACCCAACTACACATTGAAAGAATGTTGTAGAAGATAACACAGTGTTAGCATGACTTAACTTTTTAAAAAGGAGGCGTGTAGCTCATTAGTACTTGAAGGGACTAATCATAGTTCATAAAGATAAGCTTGCAGCTTTGATGTTCTGTGCTTTAAACATTATAATATAGTTGTTCAGTGTAAAAAATGGATATTTTAATTACAAGTATATAACATTTCCACCTCCAGTGCTTCAGGAGCTTACCTAGTTAGAAATCTAAACTAGTACATATAAATTAGTTTAATCCATTTAGTTGAAGGTACTTCAAAAGCCCTAAAAAATGTAAAACAGTGAGTCCCTCCCTCAGAGTACTCCAATTCCAAAAGATGTTATAGTGAGTTGAAATTGAATGGACTTTCTCTGTGGTTTATTTATTTTTTAATAAACTTTATTATAGAGATATGAGGTACAAGTCAGGATTAACTACACAAGTAGGCTGCATGCAGGTGAAGTTTGGGCCTCCAGCTGGCCCTCACTTCCGCTGGTCTGGGACCAGGTGCACTTTGTGATCCAGCCCCCACCCCCGGCAGTGCCCAGCAACTGCCCATTCCTTCCTTCTGCTAGTGTGATTAATGCTCAGGTCCCACTTATGGGTGAGAACATGTGATATTCAGTTCTTTGTATTTTCTGTGATATAAAATTAGAGGTCCTTTTGGATTAAACTTGCATTGATATAGTATAAAATGCATAGAGGTCTGGTTAGGGGAGAGTTGGTAGTAAGAGGACCTAAATTTACTGCATTTGAAGAATACAATTCTGATACTTATCTCTATATTTGTTGGCATCATGAGTATTACTTTGGTATTCATTTCTTCAGAATCATTATGGAGATTTTTTTGGGGAAAAACATGGCAGCTTGTTGACAGTAAATTTTAGGTATGAAATGTTAAAACTTTGAAAGAAAAGACAAAAAAAACCCCATCTTTTATTCAGATTTTGCATATTCATATGTTGCTCTGAAAAGCTTTTGTATTTTCTGAATAACTTAATGTATCTTGATATGGGATTTTACCAATAACATTACTTTTCCTGTATTTTTTTCTCTTATCACATATTTTTATAGACTGGCTGTCTTATCCAACTTTTTTTCACCTTTGTTGGTTTTATTGTATATATTGAGGGTGGGGCCGAAAAAACTGGAATTTATTTATTAAAAAATTGTGTATGTATTACATGTTTAAACTTAAGTCATCTTCAAAGTACTCTCTGTTTAATGCAATACACCTATCCAGACACTTTTTCCACTGCTCAGAATAGTTTTTGAACGTGTCAGTTTGGATGCATTTTAGTGTTTCTGCCAATTTTTGTTTCACCTCTTCCACATCAGCAGAACTTTTCTCTTTGAGGACTTTTTCATCTGGAGAAACAAAAAGTTGCTCGGGGCAAGATCAGGTGAATAGAGAGGAAGGGGTACAGGGAACATGGTCAAAAACTGCAAAGCATTGTGTAAACAGGTGCGCTCGTAAATCATCCATCATGAAATGGGCAAATGGGTTGAAAGACTCTCCAAAAAAAGTTCACTAAAACTGTACACAGGCTCTCACAACAACACAGTTTGGTACACTGATGCCGATGGGTTCTTAGAACACTTATTTAGTGGAGGAAGCCTAGACCACAAGGGGCCCACCCTCCAAAGGATCATTCCAGTTTATTTTGGATCCCCCCTCATATTTATATATTCATTCATTCATCCAGCTTTGGGGATTTTTTTTGTTTTTTTTTTTTGGTAGTTACAAATAGAATCATGCTTAATGATCCTATTATCATATATCTTACTTTGAGTAAAGCATGATAAATTATTAAATTGGTATAAAGTATCACTAAATTATGAAACAAGAAAGTTTTTGGTCCAAAACTTTTCCCTCACAATACATGTAATAGTAGGAGAATTCACATGTAAGAATAAAACTTTGCTTTTAGTTTTTTGACACATGGAAGTCAACATTCCTTTTTTTAGATATTTATGTCATAGTTGGCTCTGTGTAAGATACTTACATAGAGAGTAATAAAAACAATACACTGGACCCTGTCCTCATAAGGATTAGATTCCAAGAAATACCTATAAGGAAAAACCCAAATGTCAAATGATGGTCCTTATCCAACTTTTGACTTTGTTTCGTAACAGTGTTTGATCTAGCCTGAAAGTCATGCAGAAGCTAAAACCACTTTTGCAAGGCAAAGCTTTTCTTTACATGTTTCCTTTAGCTACTTTATAATGGATAGTAAAAATAAATGAATGTAACTAACATAATTTTTTTTTTTTTTTGAGTTGGAGTCTCACTCTGTCACCCAGACTGGAGTGCAGTGGCTGCTCCCGGCCACTGTAGCCTCCACCTGCTGGGCTCTGGCGATCCTTCCGCCTCAACCTTCCAAGTAGTTGGAACTATAGGCACGTGCTACCACGCCCACTAAATTTCGATTTATTGTAGAGATGAGGTCTTACCAAGTTGCCCAGGTGGGTCTCAAACTCGCGGGCTCAGGCAATCCACTCACCTCGCCCTCCCAAAGTGCTGGGATTACAGGCTGAGCCACCGAGCCCGACCCCTAGCATAATTTTTTACAGTAGTGGTGTGGTGTGTTAATATTTTAGGGGCTGGTAGTTATATAGATTGAAATGAATTATTTCAGCTAAAATTCAAGAAGTATATAAGAGACACAATAGATGAAGTTTTTATAGTCAGAAGAGGTTTACTTTCTATTTTATCAGATAGACAAATCTAGCACTCATAATTGTCAAGTTGGTGATAAAATGTATTTTTTAGGTGATGGAAAACTGATAACTGGATTTATTAATTATTCATATGTATTCTAGAATAATGTTTTGGTTAATGGTTTCTTTAATCTGAAAAAGTCAAGTTGAATACACATCAGATTTTTCTGCCATACTTTTTTATACTCAGGACACTAAAATGTAGATTTCAGAAATTGAAGCATTTTGATTATTACCTATAAGAATTAAGACACTAATCAGAAGTTAATTGCTTAGCATTAAGTATCATTGCTTTACTTATTCATTAATTCACAAAAGGGTATTAAACGTGTCATTTGCCAAATCTTTGGGGCATGTAAAAATACAAAGATGATTAAGACACAGTGTCTTCCATCAAATAGCCACCAAGCTGGTGGGGAACATAAATGAGTAGATCTTTGATTTAACATGGCAAATTCTGTGCTCCTTGCTTCTACAGATCAGAGACTAACTGTCCTTAGTAGTAGAGGGCTAGGTTTCCACTGG